TATGTTGAGGTTAAAATGGATAACGAAATCTGTAATTTCTTAATTTTTTCCTGTTTTTGGTACAAAACACACCAGAGCCAAATGCATTAGCATGTGTGTTTTAATCGTGGAAAAGGAAATTTTATTCTATGCGATTAATACAAAGTATTTTGTATCCAACAAAAATGCTATTTTTGTCGATAAAACAGACGGCTTTAGCATCCTCTTAATGTTACATTATATAGTATTATTTGGCTTAAAAAAAAGTAGAGGTGTGCGAATCAAGCATTTGCATGGTCGAATCAAATCGAATTGAATTTTTATAACATGTTCGAAATCGAATCGAATCAAATTTTCCCACATTAACATTACATTAGGACCATTAGGTGATCGATTCGAAATTCTCGAACTATTCGATTTCGAATCTTGCAGATTCGAAAACGAACTCGAATCGAATCTACTGTGATTCGAATTCGATTCGAATTCGAACAATTCCCACATCTCTAAAAAAAAGTTTGAAATTTGAGGTCCAAAAAATGGATCTTTTAAAATGGGCGAAAAAACAGGTCTTTTTGCCATCACTCTTTATTTTAAGTGTGTCATAATACTCCAGCTAAAATCTATCTTGTACTTCGCTCCGTTTCTCTCACCTCGGCATACGGATTTGGGCAGTCGGTGCACGAGCGCCCGATAACCCCGGTCCGACAGCGGCACTGGCCGGTCTCGCTGTCGCAACGCGGCCCGAAGCTGCCGATTGTATAGCATTCGCACGGTGTGCACTCCTTTCGCCCGTTTGGCTGGTAGTGATTCTCCTTGCAGCGGCACTCGCCGGTGGTCTTGTTGCAAGCGGGATCGTACCCTTTGGCCTCGTCGCAGTGGCACGGCCCGCAGATCGGGGATCCCCACCAAGTCGCCGGGCAGGGCTGGTCGCTCCTCGTCTCGCAGTAGTCGCCGGACACGTCGGTGGAGTCGCACTCGCAGCGATAACCGCGGCGCGCGTCGCGCGCGTCCTCGACGCAGGTGCCGGCGTCGTTGCAGGGCTCGAGGTCGCAGACGCGCTCGCAGTCGCGGCCGACGCGGCCGGCCGCGCACACGCACTCGCTCGACCGCCACTGCGCGACGCAGACCGACGCCTGCGGGCACTCCAGGCCGCAGTAGGCCTCGGACGGGCAGCCGGCGTCGACGTTCTCCTGAACGGTCGGGCGCTGAAGGACCGTCTGATTGGTGCCGATTCGCACGTCCTGCAGGCAGCCGTCGAAGAACGGCAGGTCGACGTTGGCCGCTTGATCGGGACCGCCCACGAGGATTCTGCCGACGTACAGGCCTTGCAGCTTGGCCGGCAGCGGCACGGTCGCGGGTCGTTCGCGATAGTCCGTGTCCAGGGACACGTGGCCGCTCTGCCAGACGATCTCCACGCGGTGCCACTCGCCGTCGGCGACCGTGCCGCCGGTACGGATCACGTCGGCGCTGTCCAGCGAGACGACCAGCTTGCCGTTCCGGATTTCCAGCAGGACCGAGCTGTTCTGACCGATCTGCACGCTCATGACGAATGCCTGTTGCGCGCGGGTTCGGAGACTCAGGGCCGTGGTCCACGGTAATTGAATGGGTCGCAGCAGCGGATTGAAGCCGAGCGTGCCGTCGCCGCGAAAGCCGTACGGCGCGCCGATCTCCTCGGCGCAGGTAGACCCGGTGAAGTTGTCCTCGCACTCGCACACGAAGCCCGACCAGATCTCGCGGCACTTGCCGTTGTTTCTACACGGCGACGAGGCGCAGAAGGCGGCCTTCTCCGGGCAACCGACGTTCGTTCCATTGTCGGCCACGAATGAATTCAGGTCCACGAAAACGTGATCGATGTGGAGATCGCTGATGCAGCCGACGTAGTCCTTGTTCCGGATCTGGAAGCTCGACGGGATCGCCGGTAGGCCGCCCAACTGCAACGGCCCGGTTAAATCCAGAAATCTGTGGCAGGTCTCGGTGACGAGTCCGCAGCGCTCCTCGAGGACCCTCTCGTTCCTACCGGCGCAGGCCCATCTCGGGCCGAGTCTCTCCCCGTGCTTCAGCGCGAGCGCGACGTCGCAATCGTCCAGGGACACCGTCGCCGTCCGGTTGATGTACGAGACCGCCACCTCGTGCCAACGGCCGTCCGAGACACCGCCGGGAACGCTCGCCGTCGCCCTCGTCACCTCGTCGCCGAGGGAGAAGCTGAACTGGACGCGCGAGTCCACGATCTCCAGAGCGACGAAGTCGTGACGCTCGTTGTACCTGCCGTTGTAGAGCAGCAGACCGTCCGCCAGCTCGGTGGCGAATTTCAGTCTGAGATGAAGACGGTGGCGTTGCTTGAGCGAGGCGAAGGTGAGGAACGTCGCCGGGCCGAAGCTGCGCGCCTTCAGCTCGCACAGAGGCGTCACGCTGCCCGGGGCGGATATGGGGCAGCCCTCGCAGGTGAAGCCGCCGGCAGTGTTCCTCGCGGTGCACCGGGAGCCGCTCTTGCAGACGCCGGGGTGCGGCGAGCAGGCGTCGTGGTTCATCGAGATCTCGCAGTTCACGCCGGTGAAGCCCGGCCGACAGGTGCACGAGTACCCGCCCTCCCGCCTGTGGCAGATGCCGTCGTTCACGCAGGGATTCGAGTAGCACAGATTCACCTCGGTGTCGCACATGTAGGCCTCCCGGCTGCCGGTGAAGCCACGGGCGCATCTGCACGCGAACGTGGTCACCGGATAGATGGGCCGAAAGAGGACGGTGTCGCTGCTGGCGAAGCCGGAGGCGTTGCCGAACTTGAGCACCGTCAGGCACTCCTCGAAGTTCAGGCAGGGCTCGCGGACGCAGAGATTGTCGTCGAACGGCAGAACGGTGACGGTCGCCAATCTCGCCAGGATCCCGCGGTTGAGGTACACCCGCTCCTGAAGAAACTGCGGGCTGTAAAACTCGTCGACCGTGCCCGGCTCGACCTTGCGCGCCGAGAAGCTGACGTTCAAGATCTTGCCGTGCACGTTCGCGTCCTCCTGGACGCTGAAGAGAAAGATGTTCTCGCGCGGGCACGGGATGATAGCCGCCAGACCGTCCAGGAAGTAGCCCAGAAGAGGGCTGAGGAACGCCTCCACCGTCATGTCGTCCAGCCTCACGGTGATCGAGTTCAGCAGCATCTCGTCGGTGATCAGACGCACCGACAGCGTCATCGTGGCCTTCGCCTCGTTGATACCGTCCGTCACGGCGACCTCCATGGTCGCCACTCGCGGCACGTTGGTGTTGAGCTGCGGCGACAGCCGAATCTCGCCGGTGGTCCTGTTGAGGTCGATCAGATTCGCGTTGTTGCCGGCGAGGATGCTGTAGACAAGGTTGTCCGTCACGTCGGCGTCCACCGCCGGTATCCGGCCGATCGACGCGGTCGGGAAGAAGTCCTTGAAGTTATTGAAGATGATCTGAAAGTCCTTGAGCACCGGCGCGTTGTCGTTCACGTCGGTCACCAGGATCTGCACCACCGCGTCCGAGCGCAGCGGCGGCGACGCGGCTCGCACCACGAGTTCGAACCTCTTCTTCGGCGACTCGTAGTCGAGCTCCTCCAGGGTGATCAGCTCGGCCCGATCGGCGCCCTGGCGGATGTTCAGGCTGAAGCTATTGGCGTCCTCGCCGCCGATGATGCTGTACTGCACCACCGCGTTCGGGCCCTCGTCCGGATCGTGGGCGTAGATCTCGCCGACGGTCGAGCCGATCGGCGAGTTCTCGGCGATGTAGAGGATGATCTTGTCGTTCTCGAAGGCGGGCGGCGAATCGTTGATGTCCTCGATCTTCACGGTGACAGGAACGACGGACGAGAGCGCGGGCGAGCCGCGGTCTATGGCGACGGCCTTCAGGATGTAAAGTGCCACCGATTCTCGATCCAACGGTTTCGCGGTCCTGATAATGCCTGTCGTAGAGTCAATCGCGAACGCGCCGTCGCCGTCGTCCTCCAAAGTGTACCTCACCTATTAGATCATATTGAGTTTATTACATAGGAAGTTATGGAAACAATATTCAAAGTTTGTATTAAAACTTTCTCGACTATATTTACTATATGCTTCTACTTATATCTATTCTTTATAAATGTAATTTAAAATATTTATTTACAGTTAATTAATTAGAATTATCAATACTTTTATTAATTCAATATAATTATTTATAATTGTCGCTTGAAAAAGGTTGATAAAAACAGTCACTTTTCAGATTATTTTCTGAGAAAAGATAGAGACTAACTTAATAATATATTAATTGCGTATCTCACAAATTCAAGATTTCTATTGATTATTAAAATTCGTATTTATTTATATAAACGAGTTATTTGATACATTATTCTTCATTTAGTGTCGGATTTAAAGAAACGGGGCCCTTAAATCGTAAAAAATTTTAACAAAAGAGTCATGCAGAATTTTAAAAAAACATTTAAGAAATATTTTCATAGATTTAAAAAAAATTGAATACTATTTCAACATGATTACAACAACTATTTAATTAAGATATATTTAATGAGCAAGTTACAATGTTTGCAAAACTCTGGCATCCAAAATGCACATCGCGGTTACCACGCGGAAACCAATGACATATATTTAAGAAGTATTTGATATTTCCAAAAATATATCAAATATAAATATGTATATAGATTTTTTTTAACCAAATTTTCTTTTTAATCAAGTTTTGTGCACAGAAAGAACGATTTTGCTAGCAAGTCTAAAAATTTTGTTGGATACAGATCTGAAAATAATTTTGTTGGAAGTTCAAACTGGTTGCCAGAATATAAAAATGTTTTACAGCAATGCTCATACTTTTTGAGTTCAGCAAAATTTTTAGACCTTCCAGCAAACTCGTTCTTTCCGTGTGAAGGCCGCCAATTTGTGGGGACTCCTGGACTGTGTGTCGATGAATACAAAAAATTCGTAAGTGTAAAAGTAATTGGACTACAATTTATATTCATTCAAATATTTATTCAAACTTGTGAGCTTTTAAAAATATTTATTCGTGAATAATTTATGATTGTTTTATGATTTATTCATATTTATTCATACAAAATGTAAAGTAAAAAAGAAAGTGAAAAATAAATTTCATATATCTTTATTAATATCCAGATTTGATAAAAAAAACTTACAAATTTTGAGAAAAATTTTAGAAAACAAATTTTTTATTTAAAAGTTTTTTATTCGCAACAATAATTATTTTTATGAATTTGTTCTCTATATTTTTGCAAACCAAAAAGACACAGTAAAATCGAATACTGCAATTTCGTACGGATTACAATAACAGTAATGTTAATTCTATAAGGTATTTTAAGTGCTTTATCGTGCATCTCGTGGATGCTAAATAAAATGTATTGTTTAATTAACAGATTTAATTAATAGATTTCTCAAAATCCCCAATAAAAGCATTGGCAATAGCTCTCATTTTCTCCTCGGTATCATCGTGTTTCTTAACCATTTGAAGCACACATTTTTCTTTACATGGAAAACAGTTGAAATTTATTACTCGGGGGTTTTCGGGGTCGCTGATTCGTATATGACCTCAGATTTCCAAAATTCAAAATGGCGGATCCAAGATGACGGACCTAATTAGGAAAAAATTGCTTGATCGAGATGAAAGTGGGTACTCGGGGGTTTTCTGAGTTGCTGATTACATATATGATCTCAGATTTCCAAAATTCAAAATGGCGGATCCAAGATGGCGGATCTAATTAGGAAAAAGTTGCTTGATCGAGATCAAACGCATAAAAATTGAAAACTGATTGCATATTCATACTCAGCGACCCAAAAAACCCCCGAGTAAATATTTTCAGATCAAAGTATATTATTTTTAAAATGTTTGGTCGGTCATTTTGAATCCGCCATTTTGAATTTTGGAAATCTGACCTCGGATTCGTTATCAGCGACCATCAAAACCCATTAGTAAAAATTGCCACGAAAATCGAACTTCAAATAAGCTGGAAAACGCTTTTTTTCAAAAAAAAACTGCATTTTTTGGTGTTTGTTTCTTTATAACAATTTTACAACAAATGAAATTTAAACATTAGTGGTGTAATATTGTAGACAAATACCTTAGCTACTAGAAAAATCAACCACTATTTTTAAATACTTCGAAATTGAATTTTTATAAATAAAATTAGCGGGTAAAAAAGGTGGTCCCTGTAAGGACCACCGTGCTTCAAAGGGTTAAACTTAAACCAAGCTCGAAGGCAGAATTTTAGTGCGTAGAGTGGGGGTGAATGCGAATTCGAAAATATTCGTAATCATATTCACAAATATATTCATTCAAATCGCATAGAAAGTATTTATTCAATTTTCCATGAATATAAAAAAAGTAGTATTTGTACTCGTATTCATATTCATTATTTATTCATTTATTCGAATATTGGATGTATTCATCGGGACACACTACCCTGGACGGCCTCTCTCAAATCCGGCACTGTCCTCATTTATTAAATCACATCATATAACAGTATTTTTTTTTAACAGACAGAGAAAAAAAAAATATATATATACTTACTCGACCGTTGAGATCGGTATCCGCATCGGTCGCCGCGACTCTCAGCACGCTGGTGCCCACCAGAACGTCCTCGAGAATCGAGCCCTGATATTGCGGCGCTTCGAAGACCGGCGCGTTGTCATTCACATCCGTGACGGAGATCTCCACGTCGGTGGTGTCCGACATCGGCGGTACCCCGCCGTCCCGCGCGGTCACCGTCAACAGGTACGAGGGCACCAGTTCGCGATCGAGCGCCCTCGTCGTCGTGATCGCGCCGGTTTGCGGATTGATGGTGAACTCGGTGACCGTCTGCTCGCCGTTGTCGGTCGCCAGGCTGTACGTGATCTGGGCGTTCTTGCCGACGTCGGAATCGGTGGCGCTCACCACCAGGACGGTCACGCCGATCGGCGCGTCCTCGAACACCGAGACCGAGTACGGCGCGTTCTCGAACACCGGCGAGAAGTTGTTGGCGTCCGACACGTTGACGTAGACCAGGGCGGCGTCGGTGCGACCGCCGCTGTCCGACGCCGTCACCGTCAGCACAAACCGCTTCTCCTGCTTGTAGTCGAGCGGTTGGGCGACGGTGATGAGGCCGCGACCGTTCTGCGACGCGATGGAGAAACGTCCACGCGTGTTGCCGCCCGTGATCTCGTAATGGATTCTGGCGTCCTCGTCCGGATCGGTGGCGGTCACCGAGGCGACCGGGGTGCCCGGCGGATCATCCTCGGACACTACAGCCTCGTAGTTCTTTGGCTCGAAATAAGGATCGTTGTCGTTCACGTCGGTCACCGTGAGAATTACTGTCGCGCTCGCCGATTTTGGCTCCTCTCCGGAATCCGCCGCGATTACGGTGAATTGGTATCTGAAATCAAAACGAGAATTTCTAGTTAAAGAATTTGCTAAAAAAAAAATCTAAAGTTTTTTTAGTCAAATTTTTAATGTAGACAGTGCAAACGGATATTTTGTATATTTTTCTTCAAACACTAGCTTTAAATTAGGGCTGTTACTTCTTACTTACTTCGAATATTCGAAGCTTCGAAGTTTCGAAGTTTCGAAAAATACATTCGTGCAAATTTAATTTAAGAAATTAATAATTTTTATTAATTTTACAATTTTAAATTTTCTGTTTTTAAGATTGTTTTATGCTGAGAAAGATTTAATGACGTCAAAACAATTATATTAATTTATATTTTTCTTTGTTTATTTAAGAATAAATTAATTTTTATTTTTTTGAATTTTCTTAATTTGTTGATTGTTTTATTAATCATTATCTTTTCTTATTTACATATGTATCAAGTTTAATTATTAATTTGTAATATTTCAGGTTATAATACTTTTAAATTTTTTAGAAATAATTACGGATATATATTTTTGAGCATATATATTAATTCTTTTTATTTACAATATTTGTGAATTTTCTGAATAAATTCATTTGCACAAATATATTTTTCGAAATTTCGAAGCTTCGAAAGAATTTGAAGATTTTAAATTAGAGGTGTGCGAATCAAGCATTTAAATGGTCAAATCGAATCGAATCGAATCTAAATCAAATTTTCCCAGATTAACATTATATGCTAATTTAAACGTAATAAATGTAAAAATTTATGATTTAAATTACATTATTTTACGCAATGATTTAAACAAACTGAATATTTGTTTTTGATTCACATCTCATTACAAAGGATCTTATGTGACATTTTGAACTAGAAAATATGTAATTAATAATATAGATCGGAAGAGCACGAATAGTTAGAATGCTTTCGAATATTTCATTAATCTATATGAATACATTACATATATC